TATATTGTTCATGTGTATTACATAATGCTTTAGTCAGAGCTCAGAAGAACATGTTTACGTAGTCTCAAGCATCATGTACGTGTAAAACAGATTTGGGCCAATAAAATCATTTTTCGTTACTTAATGCTTTGTAATGCTTGATGTTAAAGTGGTTGCTTTGATGACAGTGTTTTCATTATAAAAGTACTTAGACATGCATGTGTACATGCATATTCATGTTTACAAGCGAAAAATGTACCTTCAGCTTTTAATGGATGTAAGTACTGTAGTTTTAAGGCACAGTAAATTTCTAGATGTTTAAATTGACCTTTTGAGTTTACTATTCAGATTTGTTGAAAACGAGTTCAAAAATGTGAGTTCAAGTTCAATCCAACTTGAGGATTATTATGCAGATTTTTTTGTTCTGATACACAGAAATATGAATTCATGGAATGGCCTTAAAAATGTTAAATGTTTACATAGTACTTTTGGATATCCATGTTCTGAGCATTAAACAGCTGTCCACCTTAGTGCATGTACCTCCAACTGTGTCTGATGAGAGGCGAGATCACCCAAATGTCCAGGTACATGTATACTGGTACGTGTATGTGTAGTTGTGCATGTTTGTAGCTTAACCCTAACTCCCTAGGGTGTGTGCAAAATCATATTGAAATTGGAGGATTCAGGGCTGTTAGGGTTAATAAATATGAAAATAAAAATGGATGCAAACACAATAAATGTGACTCGTGAGAGCTTTCTTTCTGTGTCCTTTCTACTTGTACAAATTTTGTAAATCTCCTGCCCCAGTCATTGTAAGTTCATGTAATTTGACTGCAAATACAGGCCAGGTTTGATCAGTGATCATCTATTGATCACTGGTCAATTCTCCCTGGTAATCAGTGCACAAAAATACCCTGGGTACCGGGTAAAATGGTTGGCTTACTGTCACTGATCGAACTTGACCACAATTTAAGGAGTATCTGTTCAGTGGTGTTTGGTTTGAGTGCTCTAAGCGGCCATCATTCACAATACAGCCATCAGTCGCAGCAAACCTGTGTGCCTTCTATAGTGTTACAAATCTCTTTGATTTTCCAAAGATGGTTTGCATTCAGACATTGTACAAACAATGGATTTTGGCAGCCAATTCCATTGAGTTTGTAATGTTAAGTGAACCCATTGAGCAGGGAAAAAAAGTTTAAAGAAATTTTGTGAGACTTCTTATGCCTTGTGCCTTCATTTTCCTGTGTCGGATGGGGATGGGTAAGACATGTAGATCTCAAGGACAGGGATTGGGATTGAGTGTGAGATACCGGAACGTGTACATGTATGTCCAAGTGGCACAACCATTCATTATTCTTATCAGAATTATTATTCTCATACACTGTAAGTGCAATATGAAGCTGTCGGCAAGAACTTGAGAGGCTATCATGGAAAGGTCATGTACCTCCTGATGAAGCATGCTGTCCACTGTC